ATGTGTCCTAGGACACCTAAAGACGTTGGTTAGATCCAGTGACTAGACCCAAAGAGTTGTGAGTTCAATACCAGGCCACAACAGTGGTGAACCAAAATCTGGAGAGTTGAGTTTACGGGAAACAACTGAGACATCCGAAAGAGGCATGATACGCGGAACTAGAAAAATCTACTCCAGTGGATGAAATAAAGGCTTCGGTTCGAAATTACAATCACTTGAAGAAGGCCGAAGTGTACAACGACTGAAACGTTGTGAATATGGAAATTTAGATGAAGATAGCAGGCTTAATAACTTAAATAATGTAAATAATCAAACAACATTTTCACACATTTTGTTCAAGGTTTTGTCCAGTTTATTTATTCTTTAATGGAAAAATGCTTCTCTTTTTTGTCTGTTTTCGACATTTCCCGGCTCAGTTATATGTTCAGCAATAGTCTTGTCATTTAGGTGTTCATACGCAGGGCTGCATTGAAACAATCATTTATTTCTGTCTTATTTACATCGAAGTTTAACGCTGCAAATTACTTAATAAAAAATGTCCTTTTCTAAATTCTCAAAATGCCTGTTTGAGATGAAATATTAGAACGGATTTTGTTCGAATAACTGAAAATGTTCGGATGTTTTGAATCTCACGTCCGGATAATCAAAGACCGGACAATCAAGGTACGAATAATCGGGGATGGATTTTTTTTCTCTCGGCTTATTTAGGTCAGCTGACCCAATTTCTTCGACCCAATTTTCTAGCTGACCGCCAAAGAATAGGAGCATTTTGTGATTAATATTTCATATAAATATTCGAATTTTAGGTTTTCCTTCGCTCAGGTTGTCTATTGATTGCCATCTGGTTAGTATCAATTTGTCATTTTCCCATCTCACACAAATGGCTGTAAGGGTTAGTCGGGATTTGGTTTATACTCGGTTCATCTGGTTAAGAGTGAGTTAAGTTTGGGTTCGATACTTATGGGCCCCTTTCACTGGAACAATTTGAATTAATTTACATTAGCAATCTTTGTTTTTTTTTCCTTAATTCGTCTTATTAATCCGTCTGTTTCTTTCCTCTGAGGCTATGACGAAAAATGGGTATAACTACTATAATCTATACACGATAGGATCCGTTGTCAAGCCTCTTTAGGAATCAATGATCATCTGACTCTGACAAGCTGCTTTAAGCGAAACTCGGTCAATGAGATAAGTCCATTGAACATTTATAGATTAGATGAATATTGTTGCTCCAGTTATCTATTGAGTATTTTTCTGACAAAATTAAACTGTTCTTGAAATGCGTGAAGCTCTAGTAATTTATATGCATTTTAATAGCTTTCTTTTAGTTGTATTATTATTATTGTTATTTTTATTTCCTTTGATTTCTGGCGTTTACACATTTCTTTCCGGGTCCCGCCCACAGACCTAAGGTTAGAAATGACATCATGACACTTTCCACTGACAAAAATAAGAACATTTTTACATAGATAAAGCCCTCTGTAAAGTGTTGTATGTACTTGGCAGAACAATTTTTTGTAACTCTTTGAGGCATGGACTTCCAGGAATCCCTTCAATTAGTCTACTGGAATCTTTTCCAACCAATCCTAGGGCTCCAACTACAACAGTGATTGTTAATGCTTTCATGTGCCACATTTTTGAGATTTCGATTCCAAGGTCCTTGTATTTTGACAGCTTTTTGAATATCTTCAAAGATACATTGCAGTCTGCAGGGACTGACATATCAATAAGGAGGCACTTTTTTTGTTTGTGGTCTTTAATAACAATGTCTAGGCGGTTGGCTTTGATTGTTCTGTCAGTGTGTATTGTGTAGTCCCATAGAATTGTAACAGGTCCTATCCCCGTAACTGGGTCTGGGTGGTGTTCATAGCAGTTATTATTATTATTATTATATCTAAACAAGTTTTATTAAATTCAAAATTTATATTTAAGGGACTTTATAATTGAGAAAGCCTTTCCAGATATTCCATAGCTGGAGAGTTTCTAATAACTACGTTGTGGAACAACGACTCCCAAGTGGTTGCTTCCCTGATCACTACAAACTTAACCTGTTCAAGCCTACAGTTAACAATTATCCTTTACACATATCCGTATAAACTGTGCCGCTTAATCTGTAACCCTCTACCTCGAGTGGTCCTCGGGCCTTGTACAGGATGAACACCAGTGTAAAAGAAAGCAAAAAGCATCCGATGTCATACCTTGTCAAAGGCCTTTGCTATATCTATGGCTATGGTCATTGTCATGAAGTTATTGTCTAGTGTTTCGCCGATTCTGTGAGTAATGAGAGTTAAGATATCAGCCGTGGATTTAGTAGGATGACATCCATATTGCTTATCCCTCAAAAGGTTGTTCTTTTTGAGGTATTCAACAACCTTCTTGTTGATTACAGATACGAATAAGTTTACCAAGGACTCGAAGGAGGCCAGTGGCTCGATATTGCGAAAGGCATGAGCACTCAACCACATTGTTAAAAAACTGGGCACACGGTTGACACCTTCCATAGACTTGGGAATCATCTCTCCTTCAGGCGGCTGTTAAAGAGTTTTGCCAAGACTGGAGATAATTATGGGCTGATGTTAAGAAGAACTGGGATTTTGTCCGACTTTCTTAATTTTAAAGCTTTTGATAAGTAGAGATATTACAAAGATTGTGCTCCGTGAAGGTGGAGGTGGGGGTGGGGGTGATAAGTAGTAATAGAAAACCATGTCACATTAAAATCTATTACGAGTAAGAAAATATACTTAGCAGATATAGATATCGAAAGTTTTAACGAAAGATGTGCATCTTATAAAAAAGAATAATCAATTTTTGCTTCGTTGTAGAGATCTCCGCGATTGAATGCTGAAAGTTCGGCTAAAAGGTGGTTGATCAGGATAAAGGAAATTAAATGTTCGATCCCTACCGAGAGGTACATTTTCTTTTTGTTGTCTAAGAAGGTGTTACACATGCTCGCATGGGATCTCCCATCTATAAATAGGAGCAGGTACTGCCTTTTGGACAGAGAAGTTTCAAGCTGTCAACTCTGACAGTCGGACTGAACATTCTTTCTGTAACACTCTCTTCTGTATATGTTTGTATTACTGTTTCTGTTAATATATTTGTTTAATTCAGTTCCTCTCTTTGTGTCTTTATTTTTGGCCCTAACAAGGCCACAACAAAGGTAGATGTTAATCTTACTGACACCGCCAATAAAAACAAAACAAGAATACAAAAACAACATTTTGAACTGATTCAGTCTTTCTTATGAAATCGTGAAATGAAGGTTATCCTGAATGGCCACTCTTCTAGATCCTTCTGTGTTAATGCAGTCTCCCCCACCCCACCTGGGTTATATCCTTGGTCCTACTTTGTTTTTATTAATTTTAATGACATCAGCTCTCAATTTGATATCCACGCTGATGACACAAACATTTACTCCTGTTTTGATAGTAAGTCTGTTCAGTTTGATAATGTCAAATTGGCGGCTGATCTAAAAAACGACCTCCAATTTGTTGTTGAACTGAGGCAAAGAATGGCTTGTTAATTTTATAGGCTCTAAAACAAAACTGCTCTCTATGAGTCATCTGAGAGGCCCCATTCTGCCTTCCATCAGTATGGCAGATGCTAACTTCCAGGGCAGTAACTTGTCGCACCTTCTCGGGTTAACACCCTTAGCTGAAATGAAGTGGAAAAACTAGATTGAATCCATTGCTTGATCAGCTGTTAAGAAAGTTGGTTCACTGTGCCGTGCCAGATCATTTTTTTCACCAGAACCTATTTTACATATTCAAAACAACAACAACAATAATAATGATATTAATAATAATAATAATGATAATGATGAAAGAATAATAATATATAATAATAATGATGATGATGAAAGAATAATAATATATAATAATAATGATGATGATGAAAGAATAATAATATATAATAATAATGATGATGATGAAAGAATAATAATATATAATAATAATGATGATGATGAAAGAATAATAATATATAATAATGATGATGAAAAGAATAATAATATAAATAATAATGATGATGATGAAAGAATAATAATATATAATAATAATGATGATGAAGATGATGATGATGAAAGAACTGAAAATCCTGTGGAATATGAACGTGACAGTTGTACCAACCTATATTGGTGGACATGACTCCGTCCCGAAAAGCCAGCCTAGCATCAAACAGAATCGAAAATATTCAAAAGGCAACAATATTCAAACTCATCTCAACGACTGAGAAGAGTGCTGAAAGATTACCGTGGGCTTATCTCCGATAAAAATCGACACATATAATTGATGTAAAAATTCAATGCGTACAAAATAATAATAATAATAGTAATGGATTAGCTTGTCCAGGAGACTTATGACCTAATTTCAGGAAGGGAGCCACAAAGAAACAAAGCATTTAATACCAACGTTCTCACGCAACGTTCATGCAAACTATATTGTAGGCTTTGTTTCGATTATCAATATGGAGAAATAAGGAATGAACTTTCTGAAAACGTATTTATAAATGAAAGGGAAATATATGTAAGTTCCCAGAATATGGTGGTCATAATATAGTGGCCAGAATATGGTTGCATGATAAAAAGAAACCAGGGAGAATATTAAATTCAGAAAATAAACTCTAAGAGTGAAAGAAATAAAAGCGGACAGAATAATATGATCGAAATAAATATTGTGGGTATTTTTTCTCAGGGTGAAAAATTAAAGAAAAACAAAGAAAAAAAAAGCATGAAAAAGGGAAATCTATATACTTACAGCCTGTGAACAAATTTAATTATTTTTATTTGTGTATATATTTGAGTGCATTTATTTTCTACAATACATATGCGCTGATAAAAAAAAGGCGTCATTTTTATATGAAGTCAATGAGTAACGAAGCTCACGGCCACATGACATTGAAATACTGATTCCTGTAAGATCACCGAAGTTAGGCAACGTCGAGCCTGGTCAGTACCTAGATGGGTGCTGTATACTTAGATGTGCGAGTAGTATAAAGACCTTACAGCTATATCATGTCGAAACACCAGTTCTCGTCCAATCACCGAAGTTAAGCAACGTCGAGTCTGGTTATTACTTAGATGGGTAACCGCTTGTGAATGCCAGGTGTTGTAAGCTTGGATGTTCGGGTGGATAACGCTTGGGAATTGTTAATCGGAGTATTGAGTTCCAATTCCCGTTTTCGTTCGTTATATTCACTTACGTGCAAATACACTTGCAAAATTTATAAATCCACTTCATCTCCCCCAGCTATGGGTTAATTAGTAAGACTTGTATCACCAAAACATCATTAACGCAATATATATATATATATATATATATATATATATATATATATTCGACTCTCCCGACGTATTCGACGTATGAGGGTCAAGCAGCTGTGTTCCTAGGAACCGAAAGCGTGACACTAGCACATGTGATTTGATTATAGGGGTGAATGTTTCGTGCAGGACCATCTACACATTTTTAACAGAGACCTGGTGCACTACGTGCCACAAAGTCCCCAAACGACCCTCCGCATGTTTTGAATTCAGAGTTGTCCTTCTCCTAGACCAGCTGCCATCCAAGGCTATAGAACCCGGTTTTTCCTGCTATTTGCTGCAAGGAATGTATGACTTTTTTTCGTTATTGTTTTTGTTATTGAATAAATATGAATTAACCCCCCCCCGTTGCCGAGTTACTGTTTTATTTGTTTTTTTTTAGTCACGTGATCATGGTTGTTTTTTTTGTTGTAGGCTATATATATATTCTGCTTCAATTTTACCTCTTTGGCCAGCGTAACCTGACGATCTTCGTAGGTGAAACCTAGATAGGTTTGCCTGGCTCTTTAGGTTCATAGTTATATATATATATATATATATATATATATATATATAAACAAAGAATCTAGATTTAGGTATTAAATAACCCATAAAAGTGTTGATATGCCGTTAACCAAATCGTAACGAGATTTTGTGTGATGGGCATCAGTGCTCGTCTTGTATTTCATTTTTGAAATGACAAGAAAATATCGTTAGAAACAAAGAATAGCATATTGAAATGTTATGTAATATCATTCGTCTTGAATATGGCATTGAATGCTGGACAATCTCCTCATCAATGTGACAGAAACTTGAAGCAGCAGAAATGTGGTTCTACAGAATGATACTGAAAATAACATGGACCGAATATGTAAGCAAAGACGAAGTTCTACAGACAATAGAAGCGAAAAGTATCAGGAGGGGATAGTTAAAATTTCTGTTGTACATAATGAGGAAAGAGGGCTTGGAAAATTTGATACCCACAAAACGGATTGAAGTTAAGAGAGTCAGAGGAAAGCAACGCAATGTTTACCTAGCGAGCTTGAGTGAATGGATAGCGGAAGAGGTTTTAGTAGAGACTAGCAGTAGAGCCCGGCGTTGCCAGGGGATGTAACAGTAAGAGATAGATCAAGTATCGACCATCATAAAGACTGAAAAATAAAATTGACAAAGATTATTGTTTAAGGTTGATGGATACGCATGTCTTAATTTGTTTTTTTTTTTTTTGTTTTTTTTTTACGAATTGGTCAAACCCAAACTCAAACAAAAACATTGTTGTCAATCATTATGAGTCTACCGATTGAATAGAATTTTATTATAAACAATTGTCTTGTAAATGGAATTTTTAAAGCATTCTGAATGTAAAAATAAAGAAAAAAAGCGTGCAAGACCATAAGAAACACTACCTGACAAAAAAAGGGAAGTTTTGTTGAAATCGGTTGAAAAATGTAGGAAATCTGATCCCATATATAAACGAACACACACACACACACACACACACACACACACACACACACACACACACACACACACACACACACACACAACCTGGGTTTTATAATAAGTATAACTCGATATGAGTTGTCTGCCTTTCATTCTCGCGACAGTGATGCCTCTTAATCGTGTTTTCAAATTGATTTTGTGCAAAAACAATTGTGTTTTTCCAATTTTTGGTGCTGTCAGAACCACCGCAAGGTAATTTTACGTAGTCCTGTGAAGTTTTGTTGAAATCAGTTGAAAAATGTAGGAAATCCGATCCAATATATAAACGTACAGACAGACACACACACACACACACACACACACACACACACACACACACACACACACACACACACACAACCTGGGTTTTATAATAAGTATGATAACAAAAAGACAAAAGTTATTAAGAGCTATAAAGGCCAGGAAATTGTGGAGAGCCATGATTGCTAACGTTCCGAAGGGACACGGTACATAGAAGAAGAAGAAAATGACATATCAATATATTTAATTTTGAACTATTGTTCTCATTTGGGTTGTAAATAGATTTTAATATAGACATAACGTTTCCGCCAAGTACTCTTTGTCGTCTTCAGTTGTGCTTGGCTGATATGAGATATTTGTTGATTGTTATGTTATTTTCCCCCTGTGATGAAAATCATTGTTCATTCCCGTTGAACCAGAGTTTCACTACGTGATTCCAGGGATCATGTAGTGAAACATTGGACTGAGAGTAACACATGTTTAATTGACTCCGATATTCACACCTCCATCATCATGTAGGACATCTGTGGTGTATTTTTGAAACCTTTTATATTTAATTTCAGATGGTTTCGAGTTATCATAATGGTTTCCTACCGATTTTCGCAATAAATAAATTATATTGACAATTATTCATCTTATAAATGAATTAAAAAATAAATCATTGAACGTGTCGTCAATTATTATTTTGTTTTTCCTCTTACTTTCAATTGCTTTTTATCGCAACATCATGATCGTTATTTCACAACACTTACAATTAATATTGCTAATAATAATTAATAATAATCGCTAATTCATCATGTAAAAACTTTCAAATAATATCTACTAATAATACTAAAGTTGTAAGGAAATAACGTTGGCGTCGTAACAAGTATTCAGAGAAAAATAAAATACAATTATATGATGAAAATGCCTGCAGCTACTGACACTTGTAATCGAGAAAACAGCTGTTACAAAATGGCTCAATCTGTTGTATTCTGGTACAATTGCATTTCTCTTAGTCTGCTAACTGGTGCATTTATTTACATTGATATCTTGGTCAGCTTATGAACATTCCAATCGACCCTTGTATAATGTTCGATCGATGCGATTAACATTCACTACTAAATTAAGTGCATTGACAAAGAAATTATGTTGAAAATATAGGCTGCTTAAAATAAATGCTTTTTTTTTCATTATTAGGCTACAAACCTATTGATATACTTACGCGTGTGATTAATATCCAGCGCTGAATTAAGTGCATTCACACGAAGGAGATTATATTGAAAAATATATGTTATCTAAAATAAAAGCTTTTTTCATCAGAAAGCTACAGATGTACTGATATACTTATGTATGTGATTAATATCCAGAACGGAATTAAGTGCATTGACACGAAAGAAATTTTTTAATGATTTCATCCCAAGCAAGTCACTAGGATGCAAGGTGCTGTTGAGAGTGAAAGAAACAGACTGGACAATGAAAGAGAAGGATTAAAAAAAACAGGAAATGACGATTGATATTGCAATTAAATCTTTTGAAGATCGTAGTTGACAGGAAATCAGAAGAGAGTTACACAAGGGAGAAGCGCAAGAGAAAAAAAAAACTATTAGCATAGAAATCGCCGTTACAACTAGCAGTGAAATTATGAGACCTGTCAATCTAGTACTGCACTTAAATTCTTGAAGTCGTGTAAGAAAAGAGGAAAGCTGATCAGAAAAATTACAATTTATAGAAAGGGCACAGGGAAGCTACATTACATTCGGTGGGAAAGTGACTGCAGTCTAATTGAAAGACCAGGACCAATAATGCTGTAGATTCTTATTTGGATTTTATCAATGATCTGTAGATATAAATCAGAAGCACCAGACTAGATCTAACATTCCATTCCCAGATGAATATAAATGTGTAGGATAGATTATGGCAAGAAGAACTTGTCTAGCACCACACAATAAACAGACTTTTGTAGTAGGAGACTTAGCAAATGATTCAATCTGTACATTCCTTTTCATGTCAGTGGAAAACGTGAGACTAAGAAGACGTAGTGAATTGTTCTGCTGGAAGTTAGCATCAACCATGCGGATAGAAAGCAAAAAGTAATTTCCGATTACAGAGCATTTCTTACCCCAGGTAAGAATAGATTGAATCGATATCAGACTTACAATTAAAACATAATTAAATAATTGTCTCATTAGTTTAAATACCGAGTTAGGAACTGATAACATCAGGGAAATGATAAAAATAAGGAACAGGGTTGATCTAGGAATAGAGACCGGTATTAATGCAGAAAGATATAGAGGAGTGGCCTGTCAAGGCAACTTTCATAACACGGTTTGATAAGAAAGATGAAATGAAATCAAAGAAACGGTCGGAAGAATATCAGAATGCCAAAGCCTACGGGATGCTTCCGAGTTTTGCCATTCTTATTCTTGACAGTCTCTTTCAGCAATAATCGTTAATATATCGGCGGTTGACCTAGAGAAGCGAAAGCCAAACCTTTTGTCTGAAAGGTGATCCTTCAAGGTGAGATGCTTAACCAATTCGGAATTGATTAGAACATCTAGTGATTTGCCAAAGAGTTAGAAGAGTAATGGGTCGATAGTTCGAAGGATCAGATGGTTCACCAGAGTTATTAAAAAAAAAGAACTACAGAAGAGAATTTCCATCAATTTAGAAAGCAAGAAGCACCAAGCCATCTATTCAAGAACTTGGAGAGACAAGGGGTCCCTTCAGAAGCATATTTCTAAAGGAAGGCATTTTGACCGGCCCGCGAGCCTGAATACCAATGACTATTTAACATGAGAGACAAGGCTTTTGAATTAGACTATCTGCCAGTTATCTTTCATGAGACTTATTTTACCAAGTTGCGTTGCCTACGTTTAATGTCAAATAATGGATACATATTTGTTATGACCCTTGGCTACATTAAAAGATAACAGAAGCGAAAGGAACGATAAAATGAAAGAGGCCAGGGAGGGACTGACATGCGAGATAGCAGAAATCTAAAGACAGTTAAACATACGCGCATTATACATACATGCCTCAGGAATGTGTGGTTGATACCGCATGTGTACGTACGTAAGTATATATGTTTGCAACTATTTGTACTCGTATGTATGTGTATATGTGCTTCGCTTTTGTTTGATGTGTGTGTGTGTGGTTCATTTGTGGAACTATTTTCAATAACATTTTCAAACCTACACGTCATAATTTCATCCATTTCACTTCGGTTGATTTTTTTCACTTTGAAGTATTTTTGAGTTTGACGTTCCTTGAGGAAAAGTAATTTTTGTTAGGTGATTTTTAATTTTAGATTTACTTTTGTTTTTCTGATTTCTCAATATTTATTTTCATTATGGTTTTAAATATTTAGGTTCACAGGGATCTGCTTATATAATTTTCCTTAATTTTTCATTAATGGCCTTCGTCCAGCCCGCGACCCGTCATTATAACACGATCCGGCCCGCGGGGTGGAATCAGTTGCCGACCCCTGGTTTATGGGGATAAAATTAGATGATAGCAAAAATCACGGACGAGGTTATGTGCATATGACACAGTAGAGACTCAGTTCAAAGGGAAAAGTCACGCAAAGCTAATCCTGATGATTCGAGAATAGAACTGGAAGAGAATTTACGAACAAAGCATTTTATTTTATCAGCAGAAGATTATAGCACTCCAAATTGATTGAAGCACGGAGGAATTGAGGACTTATCTTTATTTAACACACTCTTAAAGAGCCACTAGTATTCACGAGAGCCAAACTTGTGAGAGGCGACACGCTTTTTTACTGTCTACAAACAACGACTTTGCTTCTTTGAGGAGACGTTTTCACTTATTACGAGTGGACACAAAGAAGTGTCTGTTGTGATCAGATATATTACGTTGGTACAGTCGGAAAAGTGATCCATGTGGGTTATGGTGGCTGAACAGGCAAGTGCGGACCAGGGAGAAGAATGGTTTCACCTGATAATTCCAAGAAGGGACAAATGCATCGATGCCGGCTTTCACCAAAGAAGACATTTCAGAGGTACATTTTCCAATGGCAAGACTAAAGGTTTCATTCCAAGGTGTATGGCAAAGAAAATTGCGAATTGAATCCAAATCGGTAACAGAATGTAGTCTTGTGAAACATGTGTGTGTGGGGGGGGGAAGGAGGAGCGCATATTGATGTACCTAAGCGTGTTCTTAATAGCCAGCACTGAATTAAGTGCATTGACACGAAAGAAGATTATCTTGAAAAATAATTATATATGTGAAGTAAAAGCTTTATTATTATTATTATTATTATTATTATTATTATTATTATTATTATTTCCTCTGATTTCTGTTGTATACACATTTTCTTCCAGGTCCCAACCAGAGATCTAAGGTTAGAAATGGTTTCATGACCTTTTATTACTAAAAAAAAAAAAAAAAAAAAAGTAATATCATACACATTTTACATATATAAAGCTCTTCGTAATGTGTGAGCAGCAATTATGAGTACAATTTTTTGTATTTCTTTATTATTATTATTATTATTCCATTGCAAACCTATGTAGGTGCATAAGTGTGTTTAGCATAAGAATGAATGCGAAAAATAAAGAGACAAAAAGGAGTGAGATCATGGTTTTGTGTGTGTACGTGTCAGAGAGAGAGAGAGAGAGAGAGAGAGAGAGAGAGAGAGAGAGAGAGAGACAGACAGACAGACAGACAGACAGACAGAGACAGACAGACAGACAGAGACAGAGACAGACAGACAGACAGACAGACACACAGACCGGAAGTTTAAAAGAGAAAGTCAATGGCATTGCGTACTGGAATAGAAGAGTAGGTTGGTATAAAAGGGTAGGTTGGAAAATTGATTAGAGGGATCCGAAAAAAACATTGTGTAGATTGAAAAATATCAAAATTTAAATAGACAGCCAGCTCGTCTATTGAGGACTCGAGAGTAAGAGTTTGGAAGGAAGAGAATGTAAAAATAAAAGTGAGAAAGAAAGAGATGAATAGGTGTGCGTCTGTAAGAAGGAGAGAGAGAGAGAGAGAGAGAGTGAGGGAGAGAGAAAAAGTGGAAGAGAGAGAAAGAGATGAGGGAGTTTATAAAAGAATGCAGTCGCGTAAGAGAGTGTAGTAAGAGTAAGTGAAAGTGAGAAAGAAAGACACATACACGAGAGAGAGAACATGAATATGTTTGTATATATTTGAGAAAGAGAGAAAGAAATAGAGTTGGTGAAGGAAGAAGTTTGCATGAGAAAGACAGTGTGTAACTGCCTAAGACATTACAAACAAGGGTATGTGTGTAGGTGGGTGAAGGTGAAAAATTTGAAGACATTTGTGTCTGTTTAGAATTCTCAAACGTAGCAGCAAGCAGGTTAATTTCGAGATGTTGTGAGTGGAAATGGCGCCAGGTAAAATTCAAAAGCCAATGGCAGAGAAGATGGCTAAGGGTTGGGCATTTCTTACTAAGCCGTCTTTGAGTCGTGCCTCTATCGAATCTGACTCTTACTTCGCAGACACGGAAAGAAATTCCATATTTAGAAACGGTCGGATGTGAGATGACTTCCAAGACATTGCAGGATAACAGCATCCATCGATCACGCCACGGCTTTCCTGGGCTGTCTTTAAATGCTATAACAGTCGAAAGAATGGACACGCACAAATATATCAGAAGTTTTTATATACATAAGGTCGGTGTTTGTATTAGGTGTGTGCGAAAGTTTTCATCATTTTTTTAAAAACATTGTGTGTACGTGTATTTATCGGTGTCTATGTGTATGTAGAGTGCATTCACATTTAATTGTGTGTGTGTATAGGTGTTGGTTTCCCCGTTTCCTTTTTTCATAAAGGGTTGTAGAGATGTTCCTGTCTCGTCGCTCTTCTTTTTTTGTGTATATATATATCTAAATATGTCTGGGTGCTTATGTATTATAATCTGATTGTGTTTTTGTTGTCTTGCGCGTGAGTTTAAGACCACATTCACACATTTTAGAATAAAAAATATATATACATGTATTGTCAAATGACCGGATATGTTGTAGCGTCTTGTCGAACGTAATTTCAACGAAGAAATAAATTGAATAATATATGTATTTTTTCTTTTCTCAATAATTTTGTAGTTTTTTAAACTTAATAGTGATTAAATTTGGATTTTAAAATTGCCAGTTTTTAATTTTAATATTAAATTTTATCATATAATTTTATAATTATTGGTTAGTATAAATTATTTTTAATATTACCCGTATTTTAAAGATCTGAATAGCTATTATAACATTATTTCGTTGTCAAATTTTTGAATCTTTCTATACTTGGTTTTTGATTGGTTATTCTAGCTTTTGTAACAATGTTTCCCCCAGTGTAGGATCGTTAATTAATCTGAAACTTTTAAAACCATTTATTTTATCTTCAACATCATCACTTGATAAGACACCGAGGGTGTTGAAACAAAATGGCTATTTTTGTAGTGATTTTATAACATATGTTATAATTTTTTTTTTATAAATAATAATTATATATATATATATATATATATATATATATATATATATATATATATATTCCTTCTAGGCAAAAAAGGACGGCTTTAATTTTGTTGTATATTTCCAACTACTAGTAGTAGACATAATAGTCTTTAGTAGTTCGAAATGAAAGAAATTATTACTAGTTGTAAATAAGCGACGAAATATAAGATAAAAAAAAAACTAGTAAAATCAATAACGCTGCATCTCCGAATCTGATTTTTCTTGGTTGTTTCTTATCTATTGATTGATTTCTTTTACGGTTTATCAACCCATTACAGATTTTTTAAATGTAGAACATATTTTTAGAGTGTAAGATTTTTTAGGAGATAATAATGATTTACTAATACAAGTCTAACTAATTAACCCATATCTGGGGCAGAAGAGGTTGATTCAAAACTTTCCCAACGGTATTTGCGCGTAAATGAATATAACGAACCTAACTAGAATTGGAACTCGGCTCTCCTATTAACAATTTCGGGCCATTATTCATTTCACCACCCGCACATTCAAGCTTACAGCACCTGGTATTCCAAAGTGGTTACTCATCTACGTATTAACCAAGCTTAACTGCAGCGATCAGGCGAGAATCGGTGTTTCAACGTGATGTAGCTGTAAGCCTGTTGTTTGTTTAAAGTAGTACATCGAATAGTCTTAAGTTCTCAGAATTTTTAATATGAAGCACTGAAATTATAAATTTATTATTTATTCATATATCAATAAATTCCAGGTAAAGAATGAAATAGAAAAAAACTAATGAAAGATAAAAATGTTTCAAAGAAATGTTTAAAAATTGCATTTAGTTTATTTTTTTAATCATTTTATCCCAAGTGGAGCACAAAGCCATTAAGACGCAAGAGATTATTGAGTATTAGAAAATTTGAGGAAAAAAAAATCTATTAAGGAGAGAGGACAACAATAACAGCAACCAATAAGATAACGATTGACATTGCATCTAAATTTTTGAAGATCAAAGTTGGCTAGAAAACAAGAAACCGGAAGAGTGTTCCACAAACGAGAAGTGTGAGAGAAGAAACTGCTGGCATAGAACTTGCGGTTACATCTAGCTGATTCCATTGAAAATGATGAGACCTTGCTATCAATCTAGTACTGCGGTTACATTCATAAAGTCTAGATACCGAAGAGGAAATTTTGTCCTGACAATTACCATGAAAGTTTTTATAGAAAAAGCACACAGAAAGCTACGTTATGGCCGTGGGAAAGGAATTGAAGCCGAGATGCCAGGTCAGGGCCTGATATCTATCTTATTTAACTAAAAATAGTAACTTTTTATTGCTTGAGCCAGTCTTGTCTAAGGTTAACCAATGTCTTCAGTTGTTCTTCATTGTTTATTCTTCAGTAGTTCATATGTAAACTGTCCGGATCGTATCTAAATATCTCGGTCTTTATATTGGAGGAATTTTCTATAGAAAGAATTTGTAAAATAATTTTATTCTAAAAGAATTGTCCATAGTCAGGAAATAAAGGGAAGTATTTCTGGTAGATCGGGGCATTTATACGAACTTTGCAAGCATTCATCAAATCAGAAGTGAAATTATTATTTTATAATGAAGATATAAATCTTGTATCCCCCTTTGGGATATAGAGCAACAGCCTCACCACACCAGGCTTTCCTGTTGTGTTTTCTGTAGGTTTTTACCGGGTGAGCCTCATACCTGACCAATGTTGAATTCGTTGTCCTTGAAGACTGGTTATCAACAAGGCTGGAGAGCCCAGTCTGCGCTGTTATTTAACCCATAGCTGGGAGAGAAGAGATGGATTCATATTTTTCAGAGGTTATTTGTGCAAAAGTGAACGCAATGGCCTCGGCGCGAATTTGAATTCGATTCGCCAGTTACACTTTCGGCGCTGATAACCCCTATGCTACACGCACATTCGCTCCTTTAAGATGGAATACAAAAAATTAACTGAACGGTAGGTTTAGGTCAGAAAAGTGAAGATAATTTGATGGCTGAATGATGATGCCATGAATTTATACATATTTTATATGCATCAGGAAATAACTTTATTCTCGAAATGCATTGAAAATAAGGAATAAAAGAATTGTCAATGATCAGCAATTAATGATAATGAATCATATTAGCCGTTTCCTTATAAGGAAACACACGGCGTTTATTGACCGAGCAGCCAGTTCAACTACCGCTTTAAATTTATGAACACCTCTTAAAACAATTTTTTAGAAAAGAAACATTTATGTAAAAACATAATTTCAGATATCAGTCTTTAAACCATATACAGAGTGATTGAAAAGTAATTCCCCATTTTAGAAATACTTGTAATTTATTTAATAACTATAATTTTTACAAGAAATGGATATGAAACGAAAGAGTTTAGCATGAGGTTTTATATAAAATTCGATATGGGCACCAAATTTCGTTACCATCTCGATCCGCCCAGGAATCGTGTCAACTGATTTTACCAGGAACTCTTGTGGGATGGAAAACTTCTTGTATTCGCCCTTCAAGTTCTTCCAATATCTTTTAACCAACCCCAAAGAAAAAAGTTACAGGATGTTAAGTCAGGATTCCTGGCTGGCCACTTATACGTAAAATAGGGAGTTACTTTTCAATCATCCTGTAGATTCTAATGTTAGGATGACATTATTTCCTCTTCTCCAATTAGTATGCACCACAAGTGTTTTACAGAGAGACAGAAAGGAAATATGAGCTTTTGACTTGTGAATGAAGACAGCCCTTTGTAATAGAATGGTGATTTTACCCGTTTCCATATAAGGAAACATTCGGTATTCATTGACTAAGCAACCTGTCGACTGAAATTTATAAAATCTTTCTTTAAAAACAATTTTTCAGGAAAATAAATTTCTGAAGTCCAGTAGTTGATAGTCATTTTTTTTAGTATTGATGGGTGTTTCCTCCCCAACCTTTTATTTGAAGTGGTGTGGAATGTCAACATATTGATTATATCATTATTTTCTCTTCGAGTTATCTGTGCTATTCATTTTAGTTGTGATTGTCATTGAAATTATTTGGTACAGTTCTTTGTGATTCTGTAATGTCAGTACACAAGACTTGAAGAAAGGCGGTCCTCGCTAAGACGGGCAAGTTTCATTCGCTCGAAGCCATTTTAAACCATTGATCTGAGAAAGCATTTGTTTCAATATTTAACGTGTTTGGTCTCATAAAAATCTCGATATGATGAGACTATTTAAAAACATGACTTGAGTTTTTAGGTTAATGTTTTGGTCTTGTAGCAATTTACGCTGCGAGTGAAACTAATCCTAGCAGAGTCTACTTATAATGTTCAATTTCCTTATCTCTTCTGTTAAACTAATTTTAACAGATTCATGCACCGATGTATTTAAAGCATTTGGTATTTACTAAATTACTTAAGGTATGTGCCGTCACTGATTTCATTCAATTGTTTCTGTTTTGGGAAACTTGATTTTTTGTTCAAGATTATTCTTATCCCAACTATAAATACCTATGTCATCAGCATTGCCCCCACCCCTCCTCATCAGTAGATTAGACTCGGGAGGGGAAGCAGGTTCGCTGTCTTCTGATTCGTTCGGGAATTTGTGTGGAATTCTTAAATGCTCAGTTCCCATTTCTTCACATCTGTATTTCTATATGAACATGGCAGAGTCGAGAAAGAGATTACATAGATTAATCAGACTGCTTGTCATGGTGGGTATATTGGACTTTGTCACTTTATTAGTGGGCTTCTCTCGCAACCAATCAACCAATCAATCAATCAATCAATCATGCTAATAATAATACCACAATTTCAGTAATATTAAACTGTTTACCAGCAAAATATTACATCTGACCCCATGACT